ACTGCAAAAAGGTGGGGCATTCTGAAGAGTTGCTGAAAGTAGATCATACTGAGAAACATCAAGAAAATTTTTAATATAGATAAGAGCAGGGCGACTAGCTAGGAAGAGCAGGGCTGATGGACAGGGACAGTGAGGAAGGGACTGAGGCACCCAGAGGCCACGTGGAAGTCTTGTGTCCTTTGAGGAAGAGCAGAAGGAAGTGTAACAGGATCCATTTTACTCTTGCAGATTCCTTGCCGGAGAGGAAGGGCAAGCCAGGTTCGCTGCACCTTGGATATCTTCATACTCTTTTTCACACCTGAAGTCAGGGCAAAGCTGTATTCTTTGCCTGCCCCAACTCACTGCCTGAGCCCACTTGATGGGCTCCACATCCCCTTGCTGAAGGTCTCCCACTGCTGTGAGACGGGTCTTTGTCAAAACACAGCGAAATCTAGGGAAGTGTCCATGGACTGACCTGAGTAAAAGGTGGTGAATACAAAAAGAGAAGATACTTTAGTGAACGTGATGTACAGTCTGTGGGATGGAAAATGTGAAAACTCACTGAAAGTGAGATTAGTTTGCCATAAGAATTGTTCTGTCACTCAGTGGTTCAAGCACCTTAGGAAAATAAACCCACATAATTTCGTGCTATTACTGTAGGTTGCAAGGGCTTGGATCAAAGAGGATGGTAAAGTGGAAGGACACTTCTTTTTATCTTGATCTTATTTGACCTGAACAAAAAATAGGTTATGCAATTGCCAAAAAGCAATGTCAACTTTCATTAAATTTGCAGTCAGAGTGATTCAGAAAGGCAACAAAAATTCCTGTGTAGAGGAATAAAATATTTCACTGCTTCTATTTGTGTGTATGTGTGCATGTACATATGTGTATATATTTGCATGTATATATATGTAGCTATATGTATATGGGAATGTATAAATATGTGTATGTGTGTGTACATATATGTTTACGTATATATGTGTGTTTACATAATACATGTATATATATAAAAATTTTCATGTTTTCTCTATAAAATACAGAGTAATAAGTAGAGATGATTATTATCATTTTACAGATGCATAAGATGAGGTACAGTAGAATGAAGAGATTTACTTAAATTCTCTTTAGCTGATTTTATTTTATTTATTTACAATGTATACCAATTCCCTTACTTCCAAACAGCAATTTGTAATTGCTTCAGTGCCAACTGGTGCTAGGATGGGGGACATGACTGGTCCAGAGATGCTTCTACACAACTACACCGCTGGAGAGGGAAAGAGATATGTGGTCAAACTGTTCTGAATTTCAGTCCGGGCCCCGCCACTTACAATCTTGTGAACGTCACACAACCACCCTAAGCCTCACTTCTCTCATCTGCCAAACAGAATAAAAATAAAGCCTGCCTCACAGAGTTGATGTGAGGCTTGAATAAGAGAACTACTTGAAGAGTTCAGCTCAGCGTGGGGCGCAGCCAGCACTCGATGGACCGGGCTGTGAGCGAAGCTCTTCTATAGATCCAGGGTTCGGCCTCTGCTTTATTCAGTCCTGTGTATGACACTATTTTTGAGAATAGTCAATTGGCCTCTCTTAATAAAATAAATCCACCATAGCTCCTAAGAATTCCAGAGGGTTTTTGTTTTTAAGACAGAGGGATCTGGCTCCCACAGGAATAAGAGAGAGAAATCTGTAAACCCACTTGCAGAGACAGAAAAGCCCTACTTCGACCTTCGTGTTTATGTGTCGTCGTCTCTGCCCCACAGTCCACAGTGACTGGTCTGCCCTTTTAGATGGCAGCATTACAAGAATGCACAGCTTAAACTTCGCATTTTGCAAAGGACGTGCATTATTTTTGAGTCTGGGAAACTTCAAAATAATTCTGTTGCCGTGTTTTGTCTTATTAGGTAAAGGCAAAAAAGTTTTAAGTTGTTTTTTCTACCAATACACAGCTTGTGTTTTAATTAAAACAAGAACTAGGCTCATGACCACAGGGAAAAACCATGAAACAGAAAGCCCAGACTACGTAATAGGGATATGGCTGGAGAGTAAGAGAGGAGTTTTACACTTGGGCATCTTTTCTGTAAACATCTTTTTCAAATGTAATGTGCACTTCCCCCTCCCCCCCGCCCCCGCCTCCACCACTTAACCAGGAAAGAGGCTTAAGGGCTGTCAGAGATGGAGGTTTACGGAATCCTAAAAATACAAGCATGTTCATGGGAAACTACATTTCTTTTTATGCCAGTGAATTAGCACATTGAAAACATCTTCCTTTTTCAATTTTATTATCTGAATAATCTCCATTTAATCCTTAAAGCAGCTGTAACATCCATTGCTCCTAGTTTCCCTAAATAGGCCAAGAACAATCATTTCAATATTTAGGAGGCTATCTCCAATTCTTTCTCCATGAAGTCATTAAGTAACAACAATATGATTCTGGCATGTTTAAAGTATTAAACATGCATCATACTGACGTATTATAAAATAATCTACTATATTGCAAATGTTGCCAGTCAAAGTAGAGCTTCTTCAGTTTCAAGTGGATTAAAATAGACCAAGATTTCTCATCCTTCAGTACCACTGACATTTTGGACTGGATAATTCTTTGTCATAGGGTATTGTCCTGTGCATTGTATGATGTTTAGAGGCATCTCTGGTCTCTATCCACTAGATGCTAGTAGTATCTCCCCATTATGACAACAAAAAATGTCTCCAGGTATTGCCAAATATTTCTGGGGTAGAGGTGGGGCAGGTAAAATAGCCTCTGATGTGAACCACTGCAATAAACTATATTCATCCTGGAGAGGCAGTTAAGAATTGTGGCTAAAAGAGGATGTTCTGGAGACAGGGTACTCCTAACTAGCTGGGTGACCCTGGACAAGTTATGTAAGATCTTCATGCTTCAGTTTCCTCATCTATAAAATGAAGGTAATAACAGAACCTTTATAGGGTTGTTGTAAAGATTAACCAAGATAGTTCCTGTCCCACAGTAAATGATCAACAAATGTTAGCCATTATTTATTGCACGATTAATTCTATGCAATTTCATAGAATTTCAATTCTATACAATTTCAAAATCTGATTTAAGTTGAAATGCTCCAAACAATAGAAATGTGTCTAAGAGGGGAAAGTTTGGGTGCTGTTACACAATTACAGATGGGTATCTTTATGTTTCAGAGTGGTCAAGCTTTAGCTCAACTATTGCATAATCCTATAGCCTCATTTGCTAAACAGCTTTAGTTATTGCTTAACATATTTTATTATCTTTCAAGTGGAGATTCCTAATTCATCAAAATTATGGGCTGCTGCCAGATGATTCTTCTGTAAATACAACTGCTCTGTTGTATTTAAAAAAAAAAATCTTGACATTATGCCTGTTCTTTTCCCTCGAGTTCTTTCTTCACCACTGGTCATATAAATATTGTTGTATTATTCATTGAAGTAATAACAAAAGCTACCATTTTTAAGAGCAACTTACTGTGTGCCAAGCTAAGTGTTTCACATAGATTATTTTTTCACTCAATCCTCAAAACAATCTTACAAGTGAGATGGGTATCTCAGGGAGGTGAAGTTAATACGCCATCCAGACAGGAAAGGTCAGAACAAGGTAGGAGCCCAGGTTGGCTACCTTCAAAGCCTATGTTCTTAAAACAACTTGATTATCCAAGCTCAGAGAGCTACTCCTAATCCTAATCCTAACATGGTTTCCCTTTCTACATACCTTCCGTCCTCCCTCCACACCCCCTCTGTATCATTCACTTTCCTTGCTTTCCCCACTCCACTCAAAATGCCTTGAGGGGAATGGCCATAAAAGAGCCATGCTCTGAATGTTTTCATGTCAAGTATTGTTATTTAGAGGGAAAGAGACAGACAGACAGACACCATGAAAAGAAGAAACTCACTTCACATTGGTCTTAATGAGGACTAATAAAAATTATCTGGAAGCGAAAACAGAGAAGTGTTGAATTCACATTTCCCTGGTACAAGAAGAAGACTCATCCAAGGTTGTATAAAATAGGTGACTCATCAAACTCATCCCAGTAATTCAATTCTTGTGCATAGCATGCATATTGTACTTCACGGTGAGGAGTAAAATAGAGTAATAAAACTGCCACCAGAGACATGTTAACATAAGCTCATCGTTTTGAGACAGTTTCAAAGTGGTGACTTTGAGTGGTGACGCCAAGCTTCAGCTCTGAGAGATCAATGGAAGTGTGAGCTTGGATGTCCTGGGAAGAAAAGTTACGTGGCTAGTTCAGAAACAACCACCTTCTTAGCACATACCTGAGAGTTAGCCAATTTTGCTGGGGCACTAGAGGCCAGCATGTTTGCTGATATGGTAGAATTGTGTAGCCCAGGATAAGTCACACACAGCTCTAAGCAAGGCGCACGTAGACAATTCATTCCGAGCAGGCTTGAGTTAAGCCGCAGGACGTTTGTGAATGTTACGGGAACCAAGAGACTCATCAGCCCACAGCATTACAAAATTAAGTGGGACCTCAGAGGTCAGCTGATAGTCCTCATCAATGCACAAATACTCCTCAACATTCCCGTGTCCAATCTGTGCTTTGATACCTGCTGCGAGGGTTCTCTTTATTATTCATCAATTATTAAGTGCCAACTTGGCTGTTCTTTACTCTGTGTGCTTGTGAACTCTAGAGAATGCTGGCTGTGGAATAGCCAGCCATATAAAGGAACTGGAATTAACCCTATGAAAGTGCCTACTGTATGCAGGCATTTTATAGAGCACTCAATCAATAATTTTGACAATGTTGGGACAGATTAGGAATGAAAGGCTCAGTGAAACTAAATGCCTTGCCTTCCCAAACTCACGCACTTAGGTGGGATTCACTTCTTAGTCCAGGAGACCCCCAAAACCACACTTTGACTGCCCCACAGGATTTCTGCTGTCATTTTCTAAATGTAGTTGGAAGAGCTGAGGCTATACAGACTCTAACGGAGGAAGCAATTCATGAAGTTAAAGGCAGAATATCTTGAAAGCATTGCTTGCAAGTAGTAATACTTACAGATATGTCATCACTAAAGTCAATTTCATCCAAATCAAGATATTCAGGGGCTTCCATTATTCTTCTTTGCACATTTTGAGTAAAGTCAAATACTTATAAATTCCTAGACAAGACAGAAGCAGAAAAGAAAGGCAAAAAAGTTAGCTGTCTTATAACCAAAAATAGTATCTATATTTAAACAAACAAAATGAAAAAGGTTATGGGTGCTTGTGTTTCCTTGGAGCACATTTCCTCTCTTTGAATGTCCCCAGCCAGGTTTTCCAGAAGCAGTGAGCACAGCATCTCCACTGTGGTCCTTCGCTTTCCTGGATTTGTCCCTGTTCGTCTTCGCCAGAGCAGTGACTGGGGTTAGAATATCCCCCTACGATCAACATTAGGATCCACACCTAATCCTCACCACATCCTAGGTGTAAGTAGGGGCCTCAGGGCTGGGGAACCAGCCTGGACATCTTAGCAAAACCATATTCAAATATTTCCTATAGGCATATCCTTGGGTGCTGTGAATGGAGCAATTAATACTGGATCTCTGCAGGAATCACGTAACTATAAGACAGATACCAAATAACCAAGAGTAATGGATATTTTACAATTTGTAGTACAACCTCCAGTTTACCCCTCAAAGAAAGAAAGAAAGAAAGAAAGAAAGAAAGAAAGAAAGAAAGAAAGAAAGATCTAAGCACAAATTTAAACCACAGAATTATCGCATTGCCCTCTGCTTCAAACAGCTTTGCCTGACTGTGCCAGAGTGACCTGCCGCAAGCCCCAGAACGTCTTCAGTCAGCGCTGGCCTCGGGGCTGCCTGGGGCAATCCTTTCCTTCTGTCAAGGTAAGATACACACCTCCCACTTAATTTTCTCATCACTTATCATCATCCCCATTGGCTGTGACAGTGGCACCTACAGATGTCAAGAACAGAAATACAGACCTCTTGACTGCCTTGGTGTGCAGTTATCTTCTGCCGAGTTAACTCTCAGACACCGAAGTAAGATTCTGTTTTCTATTTCCTGCAACTTGTCTTTCTTATTATCAAAATTGTCTTACGTACCCACACTTGAGTATCTGGAATAATTCATTTTGCCCTCTTTCAGTTCTCTAATCAAGATGTGCCCTGCTGAACAGTAAGGAGTACATTACTAGAAAGTGAAAATACAGCATGCTGATGAAAATGGGCTTCCCAATAGAAGGTCAAGAGTGTAAAAAGACCTACTTTTTAAAAGAAAACTCTTATTCTGAATGCATCGTTTTCTCATTTTGAGCTGTTTCTTTTTTTTAAGCCACACAAACAGTATAATTATGATAAACAGAAAAAAAAATCACTCTCCATACCATACCTCAAACCCATCATCTGATTTAATTTTCCATGTTTCCTCTCATTCCTTTCCCATATGCGTATACCATTTTTACATAGTCTTAATTATAGTAGATACAGAGTCTATCCGAGAAAGGATTAGGATACTAATTCCATGCTCAAACGAGATTGTCCACTTAGAATAAACATTAAAAATTCCTCTGAAATCACAATAAGGTTTAAAATGAAAAGAAAACCAATTTGTATTTGTAAAAAATTTTAAAATCAGAAATTGTATTATTTATAAAAATATAAAAATAGGTTCTCAAGCAAATTTCTTGGTATAAAAATATGTCGCTTTTCCTCTAATCCACACAGAGCTTTTCAGAGGAAAACATGTACACTTATATTTACAGATTACTCAAAATAACTTTCTCTTCCACTCTGATGGATTCAGAGCTAACCCAGACTCTTTGGATTTCAACTCATCAGCTAACAGACTTTCTTCCAATCCCATTTCTTTTCACTAAATCTGCATTCCATGATGAATTGTTGACTTACTCACTTGTTCCCTCCCGTGGCCTTGGTGAACGACACAAAGATGGTGCTGGGTGTCAGGATGTGACATAGACAAACACAGGATCAGCAGGAACATGGATATAAGGGGAAATGAAGCAGAAAAACATACATCGGAGCAGGGACTGAGTTGATCTTTAAATATATGGAAATACAAAATGCAGGAGAACACATCTTAACTAAGCAAATTAATAAGCGAGCATTGACGCCCTGTTTGAGGTGCTCTAACAATACAGAGAGCAGTATTTGTAGAGAGCAAGATCCAGTTGAGTGCAGCCACTCTAACAGAACATAACCAATGGGTACTATAGATCGTGACATTAAAACAGAAAATATTAATATATTAATATTAATATGTTTGCACTTTGAGGATAGTAGTGAGATCCTTGATTCCATAGGCCAGCACACAAGAGTTACAACAGTTGCAGCCCATCACGGGAAGCCCTGGGCCACTCATATTTATCTCTATGGGTTGGATGACCTGTCCTTTGACTAAGGCATCCAAGGCCTCTGGAGCTTTCCTTTACTTCCTAGGGGGCTTTCGCATGCAACTATCTCCTTAAAGATGTCTTTTTCTATATATAAATATTCCTTTTGTCTGGTTTCAATGCTTCTCTCTTTCAAGGTGCCACTTCAAGAGTATTTATATTCTTACTTACAACGTGCAGTAATCCCCATGGTTCACCAATCCTGGTTACATTCTCAACATTAACTAACTGCTTCTTCTTCTTCTCTTTTTTTTTTTTGAGACAGGGTCCCACTCTGTGATCCAGGCTGGAGTGCCGTGGTGCAATCATAGCTCACCGCAGCCTTGAATTCCTGGGCTCAAGCGATCCTCCTGCCTCAGCCTCCTGAGCAGCTGGGACTACAGGCGCGCGCCACCACACTTGGCTATTAATCGCTTCTTTACGGGCCAGGGTGAGTCCACAGTTGTCCCTGTGGTCATACAACGCCTCCTTACTCATCTGCCCTTCCACTGAGCATCTGGCACCCTCAGGCACTCTCTTGAGGAATTAGGGACAAGATGGGAAGCATGAGGTCAGGTCAGAGCAGCTGCTACAAATAACCAAACATGATAAGGAAACTGGTCACTTTTCTCGTCCTGCCTTCTGCCACCTCCCACCCCACACACCAATCCCAGCGGAAACTGACGAGCCCCCGTTTGGAACGAGGGCACATGTGCTCTGACAGAAGGCACAGCCGCACAGGGCACACACCGGACGCCCGTGGGCTGAATCTGGCCCACAATGTGATTTGTTTGGCCCTAGCAGTGTTTAAAAAAATCAAATCAATTGCTAACTTGTAGACCTTGGGTGATTTCACATAAAATTCTGGATTTCTGACTTCACTTAAAAAGTATCTGAAGCTCTGGCAACACAGGTCTGCCTTCCCCATGGCAACAACTGGCTGGAGCTGAGCAGTGGCTGCTTCCACCTGCCCATGAGGTGTGTGCTCCCCAGGTCCCCAGATCCCTTCCCAGGCTGTTCTGCTCACGGACTAGCCTTGCCTGGCTGTGACGCATTTGAGTGTTTGACCCTTCAGGGGAATTCGGCATTCAATAACAAGTACGACACCCCCGCCCCATTTTTTATTGGTGCCTCCTGCCAAAAATGTTGACTTCGTTTGTATTCTAAGTTTGAATTTGTATTCTAAGATTGTTTTAAATTCTCATACCACAACAGCAACAAAATAAAATCTCTTACAAATAAACTACTGGCATGTCACAATTTGTGCTTTCACGGAGTCTCCATTGTATCTCTTAGTACTAGAAAAAGAAAACCTTCACAAACACAATAAAATGTTACGAGGTGGGGATTATGTTTCCTTCACTCTACAACCGAAGGAAGGAAGGGTCCTTGCTTTGTTGTGATTAGTGTGGATTTACATGGTGACACTTCACTGCTGTGACTAGAGGGGAAGCTATCCTCCAGCTGGCCCAGACCAGCAGCTTGGAGGCAAGAGGGTCAACCCTACTCAGGCCAACAAGAGTGGGTTTACACGTAAGCAAAAATATTTTTCAGGTTCTCCAGAAAGGGCAGTCCAGCTTAAAATCCTTTGCATGAGATTTTTATTGCTATGCATCATAGCTGGCCCTGGACCCTTTTGGATCTCAGGACCTAGTCATTCATACATTTGTGCTTCACCCCCATGCCATCAGCCCTGACCCTACAAGCTGCAGTCACTTGTCCCCGGTTCTCTGAGGTCTCTGAAAGGTTTTCTTTTTTAGTTAAACCCCACTCCCCTAGTGCACCTCTCTCTTAAGATCTGTCCACCTTAAGTACTGTCGACTGATTGAAATCATCCTATTTCAAGCTCAGCGGGGCTTTAATTTCTCTTCACTGACGTTGGCAATTTGTAATTTGTTATTTACATAGGAAGGTGTGTTGTGTGTCTAATTTTTTTTTTCACGAGTGGGGAAAGGTGAGATGTAGATTGGACAGGGACTGAGAGAGTACGGAAAGGTAAAGGAACAGTTTTCAATGATGTAGCTCTCCCAGTTTGGGTAGGAAAATTAACAGGGGGGGAAAGAAGAAAAACATTAGAATATGGGGACACAGGGCCAGGTTGCCGAGACCTGTGTGCTGTGCGGAAGCTGCTGATGACACCCGGCCCCCTTCTTCGGATGTGCCCAAGGCACTGGGAAAAACCTTACCCAAACCCTGAACTGGTGCCGGCTTTCAGAGATAAAGAACAAAAAAACCAGTGTCAACTATACACAATGTTTGTAGGACTTTTCCTTCTCTCACACAGTTTTGATAAGCTGCCAAGAACAGAAGTCACTCCAGTGCCTATTAAAGTGTGTGTGAGGGGCATATGCCCCTAACGGGTCAATCAACACCATGTCACCTTCTCACAAGTGACCTCAGTGATGGCCTGACTGCTTCCTTCAAGGGAAGATTCAATCTGGGAAAGAATGCAAAGTAACGGACAATCAAATTGGATATTAAAAAGTAGATAAGTGATTTAAAAAAATTGCCTCCACCCACTCCAGTATTATGATTTTCAGGAGATATTTTTAATTTTTGTGTGTGTGACTTGAAAATTGACTTTGAAAATAATTCCAGATGAAGACTTCCAAAAATCTGTTGCATAATGAATGGCGGCATCCCTGGAAAAAGCTCAGAGTGGCCGACAAAATTTCTTTGGGAAACTACACTCATTGGAACGTACACATTCTGGTGTGCTTGGCTCCTTGATTTGTGACTACAGTCAAATATCACATAAATTGCTCTACTGAAT